TCTTCCGGCAGCGCGGGCAGCGGCCCTTCGAGTGGTACGGGGCCTTCCCGGAGCTCTGCCCCGTCCTGCACAAGTACGTCCGGCCCCGCGACAAGGTGAGCCCCGTCCGGTGCCCAGCGCCCTGTGCCCCGGCCGGCCTCCTCCTGGGCGCCGAGCTCTGTGCCGCCCTGTCCCGGCTTAAACCGGCACCGTGCGCTGCCCCAGGCGATGCGAAGCCCCCGGTGCGCCGCGGCAAGAGAGCGGGAGAGACCCAGGAGTTTCCCTGGGACGGGGAGCTCTGGGGGGTGAAACATCCACAGCATCCCCGAAAGCGGTGCAACTGATGCATCGCTTCTGTGCCCGCGCGACTTTTCTATATGGAAATGTTATCTTAGGGCCCCGGAGAGCGGGTGTGCAGGTGCCGCGGGCGTGGTTTTCACAGGAGGCTCGTGGCCGTGGCTGATGTTTGCTCGTAAAACACTTTGGGGCGCGTTTGCAGGGCGCCCTCACCATCGCGCTGCTCTTGTGCCGCTCCCCAGGTTCTGGTGGTGGGCTGCGGGAACTCGGAGCTGAGTGAGCAGATGTACGACATGGGGATGTGCGAGGACATCGTGAACATTGACATCAGCGACACAGTGATCCGTCAGATGCAAGAGCGGAGCAGGAGCAAGAGGCCAAAGATGAGCTACCTGCTGATGGACATGCTTCAGATGGACTTCCCTGATGCCCACTTCCAGGTGGTCCTGGATAAAGGCACGCTGGATGCCGTCCTCACCGACGAAGAGGAGGCCACTCTAACCAAGGTGGACAAGATGTTTGCCGAAATCAGCCGGGTCCTGCAGGTAGGAGGGCGCTACTTCTGCGTCTCCTTGGCTCAAGCCCACGTGCTGAAGAAAGCAGTGGAATACTTCTCCCAGGAAGGCTGGGTTGTGCGTGTCCATCAGGTGGCTGGTAGTGGGGAGAAGCAGCAGTTTGTCCTACCAGTCTTCGTCTACGTCATGACAAAGTTCAGGAAGATCCCCGGCTCGGCACCACAGATCCTGGAGATCTGCCTGGAGGAGCAGGACAAGCCAATGCGGGTGGAGAGCACGGAGCAGCTGGTGGCGGCGGTGAAGGACAGGCAACATTACGCCCTGCTCTGCAGCCAGCTGAGCAAAACCCCCTGCGGGGAGCAGGTTTCTCTGGATCTGTGTGACAAAGAGAGCGGGAGGCCTCGCTACACGCTGCATGTGGTCGACAGCCCCTCAGTGAAACCTTCCCGGGACAATCACTTTGCCATCTTCATCAGTGAGTACATCTTCTCCTGCCTGCAATGAGACAGTGCTCTGGCCAGGAGCTGCAAAACAACCAGCGGTCCTGGCCCTGCTGAAATCGGGGCTGGAGAGGGAAATAACCCGCCTGTGCGGGGTTCGGTTGGTGTTTTAATCCTGGCTTTGCGGTGGGACGTGTGTTTGCCTGGTGGTGCAAGCAGAGCTCTGGCACAGGGCTTGCTGGCGGAGCAGATGCCCGTCTGGCAGCAGAGGGATGCTGCCTGCCCTGCCTCCAAGGTGGTGAATCCTGCCTTGATGCTGGTGACAGCCTCTGTAGCACATTGCTGTATAAAATCAGAGCACAGTGGACGCAGCCGGAAAGGCGTTGCTGGTGTGTGGGCGTCCTGACTTGCCAGGGCCAGGCTGCTCATGGCTGCCCTTTGCTTTTGTGCTTGCACCTCACGGAGATGTGTCAGGCTCTGCCAGCAGCACTGTTCCCTCCCTGGGCACCTGCAAAGCTGGGACTTAGTGCAGCCTGGAGATGGGTTGTGAGGCTGTTGGATGTCCCCTTCTTATGAGACGTGGCTTTTCCAGCCTCCTGCATGAGCCTACCCAAAACAGGGAAGGTCCTGGCTCTCTTGATGGTTGCAGAGCATGGCTCTAGGCATGCAGTGGTACCTTGTTGTGATGTCTTGCCATTCCCTGCGGCTCCTCTTTTGGAGGTTGGGGCAGTCGCCCAGGGACCAGGAATGGCCCAGGCTGATGGCAGCTCCTTCTGCAGTCCCGCAGGGCAGAGAAACCGAGTGGCTCTTTGGGACGGAGGAAGGGCGGAAGCAGCTGGCCACCAGCGCGGGCTTCGGGCGCCTGGTCACTGTGGCCCTGCACAGGGAGCAGCACTACGAGGGCATGGCCGGCATCCAGGCAGAGCTGTCGGGGAAGGTGATGAAGCTGGCCCCACCGGGCCTCCCTGCCCGGCAGCAGGTGAGCCCCGCCGCCCAGCCCCCTTGCTTGGCTTCCCCAAAACCAGGAACAGGCTGGTTCTCTGCCAGCGGCGAGTCCCTCTTCTCCAAAGGAGACAGAGCTGCAATGCGTGAGCTGGCTGCCTTGGTGGGGAGGAGACTGGCCTCAGGTGTAGCTCCTCTCGGTTTTCCCTCCAGCTGGCTGCCTTTGCTTGGAGGCAGGATTTGAGGTGCCTGCGTGGCAGGATTCAGTGTGAAGTCCTTGCACTCCAAAGTCTAGCTTCCCAAGAAAACCAGGCATCCCAAAACCCTGAGAGCATCCGCCCCCTTCATAATCCTGGCTTTAACTTCTCCTGTTCCTTCTGTCTCCTCCTTCCTGCCCCAACTCCCCAAACCTGAGGTCTTGCAAGAAGTCTTGGGGTCTTTGCTCCCTGTACCCCAACATGTGTATACGGGAGGGAAGCTGGTGTCCCATGTGCTGGTCCCCAGCTCCCTTGTGGCTGCCTACAGCATATCCTGCTGCTCCTGCATTGTGTCCGCTTTGTCCCAGCTCTTTAGCCGTGGTCAGGACAGTGGGAATGCCGGGGTCTGTTCCTGTTGCCTTTCCTTCCTCACACCAGTCCCTGTCCTCCCTGCAGGTGCCCTTCCTGTCCGTGGGAGGGGACATCGGGGTGCGGACGGTGCAGCACCGTGATACCAGCCCCCTGAGCGGGGAGTACGTTGTGGAGGACGTGAAGGGGGACAGCACCTTTTACTTCCGCCGCCTCATCTTCCTCCGCAACAGGAATGTGGTGCAGTCAGAGGCTCGGCTCCTGGCCCCCACACCTCTCCCAGGTACGTGGGGCAGGTGAGGCAGCCAGGAAGGTGCAGGGGCCAAGGGTGACTTTTTTGGGTGGCAGAGAGTGAGATCGATACAGGAGGAAGATAAAAGTCCTGCTGGGACCTTCCTGCCTTGTCCTGGAGCAGCTCCAGGAGAGTTCTTACACTCCACTGCTTGCCTTGTGGGTGGGACAGGGGCTGGGGGTGACTGGTCCCCAGAAAGCACCCCTGGCTCCCACCTTGCCTTACCAGCCAATGCCTCCTGTCATTCAGGCCAGAAGAAACGGAGGAAAGACAAGAAGAAACCCAGCCCAGCTGAGCCATGTGCAGCCATCGACAAGAGTTACCTGTGCTGCGAGCACCACAAGGCCATGGTCGCGGGGCTCTGCCTGTTGGGGGGCCCCAAACCCCTCCCAGGTGATGGAGCCAGAAGTGTGAGGCTGTGCTGGGGGCAGGCGCACATGTGTCCCCATGGGGGCTCCTTGGGGAAGGGCTTTCCTGGCCAACGTCCCCCATGCACCCTTCCCGAAGTGGTTTGGGGCTGGCGGGTGGGATGAGCAGTGGGACTGTGGCCATCCCAGTGGTTCACTGGGTGCTCTCTGTTGGCAGGAGCCCTGCTGGCAGTGCTGGTGGTGGGGCTTGGCGGGGGCAGCCTGCCCCTCTTCATCCACGACTACTTCTCACAGGCCCGCGTGGCCGTGGTGGAGATCGACCCCTCCATGCTGGAGGTGGCCACGCGCTGGTTCGGCTTCTCCCAGGGTGACCGAATGCGGGTGCATATCTCCGATGGCCTGGACTATGTGACCAAGCTGGCAGCTGAAGGTACTATCTCGCAGAGCATCCCAGGCGCCCCATCGAGCCCAGTGGGTAACGTACTGGGGACTGGAGTCCTGGGCTGCTTTCACCCTCTGCTTCCCATCCCTGCCCATCTCCTGCGATGTGTCATGAGCTCCAGCCTCGCCAGGTCTCTGCAACTCACAGGCCTGTCCTTGCCAACATGTGCAGGGAACCTTAGATTTGCTGCCTTCCCCACCGCTCAGGGCTGCTGCCCTGGGTTTCATTTGGAAAGAGAAACCCCAGGAGAGAGAAGCGGCCGTAACATGGCAGAGGGGGCATCTTGACCACCCCATTCGTTGCCTCCCCACCGTGCGTGGCTCATCTCTGTCCCATGGGATAACAAGTCTCTGCGTTCCCTC